CCTGTTATTCAGTGTGGGGATGGGTACTAAGTGACGTAGATTTTTTACCAGATGATACCTTTACACTCGAAACGTATCTAAAAGTATTAGACACATAAAGGTGTCACCGTGCTTTTACTGCTGAGTCCAGAAACCAAGCGGTATCCTAACAATAATACAATAATATTAGGGTGGTGGCTGCCGGCCGGGATCGTGAGTGTCGCATGGCAGGCAGTCTACTCGAAACATCGATAATACCTAGCGAGTACAGCGCGAGCGGCACAACAATCCCCTGTCCCCGGGTACAGCGCGCACAGAACAGCAACAATGTCTCACGGCTCGGCCGGTGCAAGCCACAGCTCGGCTCGCACCGACATTGGCCAGCTCGCTTAGGTCCATGTATATTATTGGGCTATCTATTTATTTCATACACAGTTATAAAAAAGCCCGAACTACTACCTCGAAGAAAACCAAACGAGTATCATCTGCTCTCATTAACGTTCGTTGAATGAGATTTTTTTATTCTACAGATACCTTAGGCGGAACACACGCATCTTGCTTACATTTAGGCCTTTGCTTGGCGGGTCGCCTATGCCGTTGGCTAAGTTAGGTCTCCCAGGGCAGTCCATAGCACTCCCAAATGATTCACCACTAAAATTGACGCTTGTGGCGCTTTTTTATTGCCAAAATTCGAACTTCCTGAGTGCAAACAATACAGGGGTCAAAATGACCCCTGCCGCGGTTCTTAGGTATATTGTTGTCCTACGCCCACAAAAATGGTCCGACAGCGCCGAAATTTCACTCAAATGTTCTTTTCTGGTATTTATAAAAAGTCAAAAAGCCCCAAATCCGACAAGAAAAAAAAAGGTCAGAAAAATTTATGACAAAAATTAAAAGGGGTCAAATTGACCCCCTCCGCGGTTCTAGTGTTGGCCGTGGTCAGACACATAAGTCTCACCATTTTGTGGTGAGACTTTTGTGTCTGACCGTTTTGTGACGAGACTTTTGTGTCTGACCGAATTTTGGCGAGACTTTCAGGTCTGACCAAAACTTGGCGAGACTTTAATGTCTCGCCATATTTTGGCGCGAAGTCTTTCCATCCAATTTGCAGTGATGGCTGCCCCCACGAATCAGTTACAAAAGCGCTTAGTGTTTGGCACACATGTGGGCGAAAATTCATCTCACTGCACACAGCAGTGTGGGAAGGATTGTACACCATAAACTTAATTCCAGGCAATGTATGTGTCGGCTACACGGTAAAAACGGTACCTGGTTTTCCCAGGAAGTCTATGGTGAAGACATGGACGATTTCCAGAGGGTTCCTGGGAAAACCAGGAAGAGTTTTTACCGTGTACGCTGTAATCGAGAGGTCTCCTTTGCCAGGTAGGCTGAGGTTGGCAACCCTTTCGACACCGGTGCGCGTTGGGAGTGGTCGCCCATCATTATCATTATCATTAAAGGCTAGATTACCCATGTGAGCGAGAACACTGCTCTTCTTAGTGGTAGATTCAGAGCCAGTTGAGCCAGCCTGCAGCCATGGGCGTCTCCCACTGCACTGCAAACTGAATCCGAGAGTTCTCTTTCGTCGCTTTGTCTCTCTCGCACCCATAGGACTAGTCCCATGCGTGCGAAAGAGACAGAGTGACGAGTACGGCTCTCGGAACGAGGCTGCCGCGCGGCATAAGCTGGCGGAAGCTGGCCGCACTTCGCGCACTGCAGCCATCAAGGCCATCCACGCCACCGCGAGCCTTTCACCGCGCCGCGCCGACGGCGTGCCGAGCGCGTCTGGACGGAACGGGGTGCCTGCAGCGCAGCGCCTCAAGCGCCTCGCTCACACAAGCGCGGATCTGCGGATCCAGGCGGAGGTGCAGCCCCCCCCCCTTTCCGGTGGAGTGGAGGTGGCCAAAAGTTTAGACGCGTTTTGAGCTCCAGAGTCACTAAGTAGGACTCGAAACAATCGAGTGACGACCCCATCAATGGATTCTGCTTTCGAACTTTCGAAGAGCTATCCATTGATGGGGTCACACGTTAGATTCGAGGCCCATTTAGTGATTCTGCTGGAGGTCAAAACCCGCTTAGAAAATTTTTACCGCCTCCACCGCACAGTGGTTTAAAATGCTATTTTCGGGGGAATAAGTCTTAGCAAGCGTCCCGTGCGACCAAATGCTACCAGAATTGAACTGAATCATCGGTAGGCAATAGGCAAAGACTGGTTCAAAGGAAAAGGCGGTCCGATAAATATTGGATTTATAATGCTGAAATAATGAGAAAAATAGCAAAATTAGAAGAAAAATGACAGAATTGACAAAAAAAGCAAAACTAAAAAATGCTCAAAATACTTAGTTTTAACTTCTGAGCCGCATTAAATCATTTTGTTACTAAGAAAAACAAAATATTTGAAAAGAAAAACAATCCCACTTATGTGTTCTTCATTTTGAATGGTGTACACCAGAAGCCAATAGCCCCAAAACTAGTCAATTTGGCACGTTTTTGTAGTGTTGATCCCCTTGCGTTTCTTGTTGCGGACGAGTGCGGAAAAGTTATCATCGGGGCATCTTAATATACATGTAAGGGAAGCGCCTCGCACCAATAACTTCGCCCCATCGGGCCCCATCGATGTCCGAAACTCCAAAAGTGTGTTTTTTAATGTTTTGAACGCATTTGTAGCAAAAACCCGCCACCGTGAGCTAAACCGCGAACGAAATGTTGCGCTGTGTGCTGCTATCCTTTGATTAATGATGATACGAAAAGAAAAACACGCCAGCATACCAGTAGCATCGCTCTAATTGGAAAAATAAGGGTAGGAAACATCTAAGAAAATTAGATGAATTTGACCAAAATACAAAAGACTAAAATCAAACCCTTCCCAGTGGCTCCCAGCGTCATATAAAAATTTATAAACGTCATTTTATATTGTATTAGAGTATTAAAGTTCGTTTTCACCCCCCAGAATGCCCCCTGCGACACTTTTAGTGATTCTAATGCCGGAAAATTTCCCGGGAAAAATACGGAAAATTTCGGAAAATTTCCGTATTTTTCCCAAGCTCCCGGAAAAGTAGGAAAAATATGATAACTAACTCTTTATTACGTTCCAATAAAGTTCCAGAGTCAAATCTTACTGTTCCCACTATTTTGGATGCTCTTTACTCAAATCTCATTTAAAGTATGTTGAAACCTGAAACAGTGACTGATACTAGGGGTAGCCGATATTTGGGGTCTGGCCATGCAAGGAAGCAGTAAGAGGAACCGACACAGGACGGGTCGGTTGACCTTACTTACAAAATTGGCTTTGGCATGACTATCACTTTCATGCGCGGACAGCGAGCTTTAGACCTTCTTTACTGGATAGAGAACTGCCATTCCGAATGTCGTTGCCCTAACTTCAGACACTTGTTTATTTTTAAATTTTTGGGTCCCGGTTTTGCACTTTGATGCAACATAATTTCGTCGCGATATTCATTTCACAAAATTCTTATATCTTCTTGTCCCCGATAATTCAAGCAAACTGCCGGTATTGTTCTGATTTATCCAAGATAAAGTTTAAACCCTCACATCGACGCCTCCCGGCAATAAGGCTCTATCTTTTCCGTACGTCTCTAAAAGGCTCTTTCTTTTTCGTACGTCTCTAAAAGGCTCTATCTTTTCCGCACGTCTCTAAAAGGCTCTATCTTTTTCGTACGCCTAAAAGGTTCTATCTTATTCAGGATTTGATAAGTTATTATAACTCTGTTTTGGGATATTACTACCTTTTGATGGTTGAGAGTGAAAGCACATACCGTCATGAACCGAAATAAACCATCATGTTGATAACTAATCAAATCTTTAACTCTCAATATCTCAAAAGACTGCCTGAAAAGATAGAACCTTTTGGGCGTACGAAAAAGATAGAGCCTTTTAGAGACGTGCGAAAAAGATAGAGCCTTTTAGAGACGTACGGAAAAGATAGAGCCTTATTGCCAGGAGGCGTCGACATGGTTGCAAAACGGTAAGCGAAGCTACCGCGAATACGAAAGTGGCTAGATACAAAGAACCGCCATGAAGTAGAGACGTAGCGTTAGCCCATTTTGGGGGCTCCTTTAAATTCCGTGGGCGTCCAGAACTAGATGTGCCTGCATTACCTGGGTATCACGTTAACTCTCACTCTGTTCTGTAAGTAGTTCAACACCAGTCTTGAACCTATTCGGCTGTTTTATAATGTGTTTGGTATGTTTTTCCTGATCAACCTCAATTTTTCCAATTTTTCTGGAAATTTTCGTATTTTTCCTATTTTTTCGGAAATTTTCGGAAAAGTTGAACTTTTCCGGAAAATTAGAAACACTAGACACTTTTGAAAAATCGATTTATTCCCCCTAAAACAGGATTTTAAACCACTGTGCACCGGTTTTCTGGCCCAGTCACCCCCCCCCCCCCCTTTTTTTTTCAAACCTACGAGAACGGTGAAACCGCCTGAAAGGCATGCCATGAATCACAGTTTACCCCCTGCAGATAGGCAACTCTTGTAGCATCCCTACATCCTCACTGTCAAACCACGTGTGGAGACTGCAAACTCTGCAATTCCAAGTGCGGAGGGGGGGGGGAGCCTTGGTCACACAGTGCAGGCAACTTATGCGACCCCCGCCCCCCTCCATTTTTCTCCCTTCCCCAGTGCACGGAAAAAAATACTTAGTCAGTCCAACCAAATTTTAGTTAGCCCTACCAATGCTTCGGTTGGTTTTGGCCCAACTAAGATATTCCGTACCGGTGACGAAAATTTCGTCGGAAGAGCAGAAAAGTTTGTTGCCACAACGAATCTATCGTTGCAGCAGCAAATTGATTCGTTGCAGTAGCTGACTCTTAATTCGGTCGTGCCAACCAATGAATTCACTGCTGCAACGAACTTTCCGCTGTTCTAACAAATTTTTCGTTCTTCGAACGCAATTTTCGTTACTGGAACAAAAAAACTTAGTTGGGCCAAAACCAACCGAAACATTGGTTGGACCAACTAATTATTTTTTTCCGTGTGGGCTCTGGATGTGACTCACCATGCGGCCCTCCAGCTCGTTGTAGGCGTCCTGGCACACCGAGTTGGACTGCACGTAGGCCGCGGCGAACATGAAGGAGCCCAGGATGAGGGAGACGAGCACCACGGTGACGGCCGCGATTTGCGCCACCTGGACGATGGCGGACTTGGGCCGCTGGTACGCCTGCAACAGGGAGGAGGGCGATGTCTGTCAAGACCAGGAAGGAGCGGGAAGCTGGCTGGCTGGCTGGCTGACTAACTGGCTAGCTGGCTAGCTGGCTGACTGACTAGCTGGCTGACTGGCTAGCTGGCTGACTGGCTAGCTGGCTGACGGGCTAGCTGGCTGACTGGCTAGCTGGCTGACTGGCTAGCTGGCTGACTGACTAGCTGGCTAGCTGGCTGACTGGCTGGCTAGCTGACTGACTGGCTGGCTAGCTGGCTGACTGGCTGGCTAGCTGGCTGACTGGCTGGCTAGCTGGCTGACTGGCTGGCTAGCTGGCTGACTGGCTGGCTAGCTGGCTAGCTGGCTGACTGGCTGACTGCTGGCTAGCTGGCTGACTGGCTGACTGGCTAACTAGCTGGGTATAGCTGGCTTGGTAGCTGGCTAGCTGCTTGACTGGCTGGCCGGTTGGCTGCCTGGTTCACAGCCTAGCTCGAGGTGAGAGGTGCATTTTTGGAACGCATTATTCGTGTGAAAATTCAGTTTCGTCACCATACTCCTGTTGTCGATGTCAGATAAAGCTACGCTGGCTGCTGGCTATGGATGTTGTGCGATTCCTAGGAAGTCGACTCAACTTGAATCTGGTCTGTTAACGATCGATTCCAAGATCGATTCGGAAAACGACTAGAAATGTTTGACGGTACGAGAAATGGCTTGCCATTTGATTTGATTCAAGACTGGAAAATGCCGCATTTCAGTCTGAACACCACTACCAAGTCACGAAGAAAAAAATTGTATCCATCGTGATACAAGTTTCTGTAGCATATGCTATCGAAAAAGCTGCATAACCACACTGAGAAAACCTCACAAACTATTTTAGGCCTTACAAAGAAAAACAATTCGTTATAACAAAGTATTTTGAGCATACATAAGCTTACAAAGAAAATACTTCGCAATTTACCAACTATTTCTTCGTATAACAAAGTAAATTGGTTTGCATCATGTGTGCTCAAAATACTTTGTAAGGTTAACCGTATTTAACCTTGACCTTATTTAGCCAAATTTTATGCGTGCGTGTTACAGAATTCTGTACTGATTTTTTTCTGAGCTGGCCAATGGGAAATAACTCTATCCAAATTTGCACACCCAAATTCATCAAACATGCGAAATTCAGTAAAATTTATTAAAATGCATCGAAATTTATCGAAAGAAGACTGAAATTCTTCGAAATTCGACTGAAATTCATCAAAATTTGACCGAATTAGTCGAAATTCGACCGAAATTCATAGGATTTGTACACTGAAATTCACAGTGATTTCACAGTGATTTCCTCTTGTGGAGTTGGCTGGCGGGCTTACTGTCCGGCTGACTGGCTGGCAGGCTGGCTGGATGCTTGCTGCCTGGCTGGCCTCGTCGCGCAGCCATAGGCCGCTAAGCGCGCGGCGGGCCTTTTAAGCACGCCTAGCCGCGCTGCGCAAACGGCACCGCAGCAACCGCAGTGCGCTACAGCGCCGGCCAGTGAACCGGGCTTTCGCCATGGACCAGCGGGCGGGCTGCAGGCACACTGGTAGCCTACGAATGTGACGTCATATTCGTTGGAGTGTGAATTTTGTCACGTTCGTTTGAATATGATGTCACAGTTTAATGTTGATCCACGTTCAAATGAATGTGACACCCCACTTGAACGGCCGAGTCACGTTCAAACGAATGTGACATCATATTCAAACGAACGTGACAAAATTCACACTCCAACGAATATGACGTCACATTCATTGGCTACCAGTGCAGCAGGCTCTATGGCCAACCCCTGTGGGCAACCTCAGCTGGCGGCCGCACCAGCAGGCATCCGCCGGGCTTCCCACAGAGGCACCGTCGCTCTGTCTCTCTCGCACCCGCCCGGGATGTCCCATGAGTGCAGGAGAGTGACGAAGACTCTCGAAATCAGTCTGCTCGTTAGGGAGGTTATGCAACCTGTCATTGCTGAACCGAAACTTGAGGGATTTTCAATTTTTCGGAGGCTGATGGTAGCGTCGCTGTCTCCCTCGCACCAGCCCAGACCGCCCCATGAGCGCAACAGAGACAGAGTGACAAAACGATCCTTCGGGATCGAACAGTGTCCGCAAACGCGGAATCCACGCGCTCACGGGGCGTCCCGAAAGGTCCGAGAGAACGGACACGCGAGTCAACCCCGCCCGCGATGTACGCTGCAGGGCGCGAACGTGAGTCGTCCGCACGGAGAGCGGAAGGCATCGCTCTTGCTCTCTCTAACTCGTGGGACCGTTCCAGTGCGAGAGTAAAGCGGCTTCTGCTGCGCTCACCGATTCCGCGTCTGGAAGCGTGAATCCACGGGGCGGACAGTGCGAGAGGGAGGGGGGGGAGGAGGGCAATATGACAACCCTTAGCCTGCAAAAAGCAGGGCCGAAAGGTGTCAAACGTTTTTGGTCCTGAGAGGCAAAAAGAGTACTAGCCGCAAACTCGTCGGCTCCGACCCCTGCCAGCAGGACGGGGGGGGGGGCTCACCCCGCCGTCCCGGTGCCCAGGGTTAAGACCCAGCGACGCGCGTCCACCTCGTCGTCCGCGTCGTACGCTGCAGTGGCGAACGTGAGTCGTCCGCACGGAGAAGCAGGAAGGCATCGCTCTGTCTCTCTCGCACTCGTGGGGCGCCGCGTCCAGTGCGAGAGGGACAGGGCGGCCGCTGCTGCTCACCGCCGTGTTCCGCGTCTGGAAGCGTGGATCCAGGTGCGGATCCAGTGCGAGAGGAAAGGGGGGGGGGCGGAGGGCAATATGACAACCCCTTAGCCTGCAGAGAGCAGCCTGAAAGGTGTGCATAAAACCATCTTTTGTCTTTGGGAGTAGGCAAACAGTGCTTCCTTGCCGCTTCCTCGTCGGCTCCGCCACTGCCAGCGAGGATCGGGCGTGGGAGGCTACCCGCGCCGCTTCCGGTGCCGGGACTTAATGCCGAGAGTCGCTCTGGTCGCTCTGTCTCTCTCGCACCCATGGGGCGTTCCGTATAGGTGCGAGAGAGACAGAGCGACGAAAGCAACTCTCGGAGTCAGCCGGCCACTGACGCTGTGACGCGAAAGCGTCGCTGTGCGAGTCTGTTAGCTCAACAAAGATGCCATCATCTAATCGGAGGAAAGCGGTTGCGTTCGGCCGATGCGCGACGCGCGCGATCTGGTGTTGCGACAGCGAAGAAAGCCGGCCAGAAGACCATCACGACGATCAAAGGACTGGCTCCGAGAGTCGGCTTCGTCGCTCGTTTCTCTCTCTCTCTCTCTCTCTCTCTCTCTCTCTCTGTCTGTCTCTCTCCTCGCACTTACGGGGTGTTCCGTGTGGGTGCGAGAGAGGCAGAGTGCGCGGACTCTCGAAATCAGTCTGTTGAAGCCACTGAGAGGCCTTGTCGGCTCCGCCACGGCTCCGCGCGTCCACGACGACGCCGTGCCCCCAAGGCCGCGCTGCGCTCCCTAGCCACGCCAACCAGTGCACCAGACTGAGAGTCGCTTTCGTCGCTCCGTCTCTCTCGCACTCACGGGGCGTTTCCCTGCGAGAGAGACAGAGCGACGAAGGCGACGCAGTCGGCCTGCGCCTGCAGGGCCGTCGTCGTGGCCGAGCCTTTTATTTTGGAGCGACCTTGCCGCGCCGCCGCGATGCGACCGCTTTGTGACGCCGGCCACTTCACGCGCCAGTGCGGCACCGCGGCACCGCGGCACGCACGCGGGGGCGTCGCTAAGCCGGCAGTGCAGCCACACTGAAACACCAAACGTGGTCTAGACCACACCGCTGGTGTGGTCACATGGGTGCCATTTTGACCGCATCAGTTGGTGTGGTCTAGCTAGACCATGTTTGGTGCTGAAGACCACACCAAACGTGATCTAGACCACACCAACTGATGCGGTCAAAATGGCACCCATTTGACCACACCAGTTGGTGTGGTCTAAACCACGTTTGGTTTTTCAGTGAGCGCACAGTGGATGGATATGCCAGAAGACCGAACGCGGTGGCGAAAACTCTAGCGTTTTGAGCTCCAGAGTCGCTAAACAGGACTCGATAACCAAACGTGTGACCCCACCAACGGATTGCTCTCCGAACGAGGAATCCATTGGTGGGGTCACACGTTCGATTTGAGTTTCATTTGGCGATTGCGGAGCTTAAAACCCGTCCTGAATTTCGACCGCCACTCCCGGTCTTCTGGCCCACAGTGCGGCTCGAAAAACCCCATGCACCATATTCTCTCTCCGTCACTCTCATTTTCAGGAACGTGACGTGACGTTGAAATGACAAAAGTTCACGTTCTTTTGAGCATTGTGTAGCATTCGTTTGAATGTGAAGAAGTCGAGGGGGGCACAGCTTCATACATTCATTGTACAAAATTTGACTACATTCCACATTCAGGTGGCAAAAACGCCTGTAAGTAGGCAACATTTGAGGCCAAAACGCCAGAAATCTTGCACATTCTTGCACATTCACATAATCATTGTACACACAATTTTACAGTGGGTCACCCCTCGTAAGAAGTTAATTTTTGGCCAATTCACTCCCACTCCCGGTCTATCTGTATGGCTCTCTCTCTCTCTCTCTCTCTCTCTCTCTCTCCCTTCCCCTGCTTTTATCTGCTGTGCAGGCTCCATGTCGCGGACGGTCACGCCGCACGCCGCCAATTTCCCCTGCTGATGAATGCTTTTAGTGCACACGTACTTGAGCGGAGTGAATGTGTGGCGTGTGCGCGCGCGCGTGTGTGTGTGCGTGTGTGTGTGTGTGGGGGGGCTTTGTATGTGTATGTGTCGGTGTTGTGTTTGTGTCCGTTTGTGACAGTGTTGTGTTTGGGTCGTTGTGTGTTCGCGCTTTTGAAACATCATCACGAAGTGTTTCGTGCAGATAAGGTACAAACTATTCAGTTTGTAATGCGACAAAATTTACGAAAAATTTATTTGTGAGCTTATGTATGTTCAAAATACTTTGTCACAACACTGAGGAAATCTTACAAACTATTTTCGGCCTCACAAAGAAAAGCAGTTTGTTATAACAAAGTATTTTTAGCATACATAAGCTTACAAAGAAAATACTTCGTAAATTACGAACTATTTCTTCGTATAAAAAAGTATTTTAGTTTGTATAATGTATGCTCAAAATACTTCGTAAGGTTTAAAGCGTGAAAAATCGTAAGACCTCAAATATTGTGTTAGAACTTGTGTAAGTATCGGTAGGTTTTTTTTGTTTTTTTTTTGTGGGGGGCAGGAGGTCGGTCGGTGTGTGTTTTGTGTCGGTGTGCGCTGTGTCTGAGTTCCCTCTGTGTAATTGTGTGCGCCAGTAAGGGGCGTGCGGCGGGTCAGGCGGCCAACCTGAGAGCCCTCTCTGTGTCGGCGGCGCGGGTCACGGCAGTATAATGGTCGGGATGCGTATCTTTTGTTTCAACAGTTGGCTGCATTAGCATGCCGTGCGTGTGGCGGTGGCGGCCAGCCTCTCTCTCTCTCTCTCTCTCTCTCCCCCGCTCTCCCCTCTGGGACGCTGCAAGAGAGCGAGAGAGACAGAGCGCTGTTCGGGATCAGCCGGCTGGTGTTTTCCCTGTCGGTGCGCGCCGCCACGCCACGCACCGAGTACACAGTGCACCGAGTCTTACGGTGTGAAGCGGCGGCATGCCGGACCGTCGTCGTCCTCGACCCACAAACACAGCGAGCCGCGTGGCGGGGCGCCTTAGCCACCTGGCAGGCAACGCGCTGCCAATGTAGTGCTTGCCTCGATAGGCAACCTGCCTGGATAGGCAACCTGCCTGGGTAGGCAACCTGCCTGAATAGGCAACCTGCCTGAATAGGCAACCTGCCTGAATAGGCAATCTACCAGGCCAAGCAACTTTCAAGGATGGTCAACGTTCCTGCTGGATACCTTGAAATTCCGGGGTGCTCACACGTGTAAATCTTGTCAGAATGTCACAAATCTGTCTGAAAACCGGATCAAAATTCGCGCACCTCTGAAAGCTGCAAACTTATTCTGACATTCTGTAGAACTCAGACCATCAATATCAGAATAAGTTTTCAGAATTTCAGCTTTCAAAGGTGCACGAATTTTGTTCAGGATTTCAGACATGTTTCTGACATTCTGACAAAACTTACACGAGTGCTCTGAAAGTTAACACCTACGAAGTGATTATTAACAAGCAGCGTTTATGTAGCCACTTTCATACACGCGGCGTGCAAATAACGCGATTTTCATTATATACACGCCGGAAAAGCTTTTCCAGCGTGTATATAATGAAAACGGCTGTTTTTTTCACGCAGCGTGTCTGCAAGCGCCCTGAAATTATTTACACGCTGGAAAAGCTTTTCCAGCGTGCCCATAGTAAAGGAGGGTGTTATTTTTATGCAGCGTGTTCGCAACTCACTATTTTACTAGCCAGGGGAAGGCTTTCGGCCTCGCTGCTGAGCTGGATTCTGCTGGAGATGGAAATGCATTTTCATCAGTAGTAAAATTAGGTAATGTTTATTTTGAAAATGGGCCGCTTTTCTTTTAGCGGTAATCTACAAACTCACGTGTGTACATAGAACACTCCACCTGGAGCCAACAAGCATGTACACTCCAACCTGGAGCATAGCTGGCATGTGCACTCCAGGTTGGCGTGTACTTGGCATGTACACTCCAGGTTGGCGTGTACTTGGCAATTACACGCCAGGTAGCGCATACCTGCAGGTACACTATGTACAAGCGCCAAAAGGCGCTAAATTTCAGAGCACCCCTGAATGACAGTGTAGGCGACCCGCCTGCGTTCCCATTTCCCTACTGAGAAATGCCATGCAGTCATGTCATGAAGTTCTATGAACGAGACATTTTAAAGTTTATTTTCTTCAATATCGACCATTTTACATGTAGGTGTCGAAACCAGGGGAGAGTAGATTTTATCCCAGACCGGGTTTCGCTCTGGTGCGGTCGAGACGAAACATGATCGTGCTCTTCAAAATGGTGTGAGCTCCGGAATTCATGTTGAAGGCAATCTTCCAGCGATCTGGACCAGGCCAGACCGGCGGGGTCATTTCATCAAAATTTGAGGTCCAGTCCATATTGTAGCAGCCCTGCGGGAGGAGTGCGTTATCAAACAAATTCATGGAATGCTTCAGTTGCGTATATTTTCCCCATTTCGTTCACTCGTTTATTCGTTCATTGATTCATCGCACTGATTTGGAAATCAGTGCAAACTATGTCCTTTTTTTTGTGGATAGCTTTGTACAAAATTGAGCATGGGTTTTAGAATGCACGAGTTTGTGCATAAATAAGAACGGAAGTGTGCGTTGTTGCGCATGAATTCGTGCATTTCACGCGCATGTTAAATTTCGTGCAAACGCTAGGCACATAGTAAAGCACATAGTAAATTTCTGTGATTGATTCAATGCAGCGGGGGAGGGGGAGGGGGAGGTGTAAATGGATTCTGAGTTGGAGCGAAGTCAATGCCCCTAAGATTTTGAATGGAAGGGCTGGTCAAAAAGGCTGTTCTTGTGGTACGCGGTAGTTTCAGGTGGTGCAGTAAGGTTCGTCCTGTGAATTTATTGTGGTGTGCTTTTATACTTGATTGGATGTTCACTCACTTGAACCGGACAAGAGGGAGGGAAATGGTAGTACGTCTTGAGTCCGCTGTATATAGGCCTCTTCTCGTGACGCAAGTAGTCACAAAACAGGATTTGGTACTTGACAAAGCTCTGGATGTACCTTTTCCCAAGAAGCTCAAAGAGACTGACATCAAGCTGGAAAATTAGTGAACACTGAGGCAAAAAGTTACCGTGAAATCCGGAAGCAAGTTGAGAAAACTCTCCGTACCCGGACTGGAACTTAACATTTTCCGTAGTCTTCTTGCCAATCTTCTTCGTGGGACTTTACTCTTCTCCGTGCATCTCATTGGCATGCAACGGACACGCGGAGAACGCACTGCAAACCTAACTGTCTACTAAGTACACACTTACAAATGCATGCTTGCAAGTACACACTTACAAAGGCATGCTTGGCCAAGTACACACTTAAAAATGCATGCTTGTAAGTACACACTTACAAACGCATGCTTGACGCCGTTGAACTTCATGCGTCAAGCATGCGTTTGTAAGTGTGTACTTGCAAGCATGCATTTGTAAGTGTGTACTTACACTGCAAGAAAAAGTGTAGATAGTACAACAAAAGTACAACAGAAACTGTACAATAAAAGTACAACAGGGATTGTAGAATGTACAACGAGAATTGTACAAACCACAACGAGCCCTGGACTGCACAGCACTCCTCATGCCGGTTCCATTGTACTTTGTACAACAATTGTTGTACTTGTAAAGTACACTAAATTCCTGATAAAAAATTTGCCAGAAATTTGTGTACTTTTGTTGTGGTTATTTCCTGCAGTGTAGTAGACAGTTGAGTTTGTAGTGCGGTGTAAGTCCTATGAAGAAGATTCATAAGAGGCTACGGAAAATGGTAGTAGGGAAAATCATGTCAGAAAAATTAACTGGCTTTTCCGTAATTATTTTGCTACAGTTGTTTAACTGAGTCCGATATGTTCAGCAGGACACTAAATGCCTATGGACGCTTTGTTCATAAGTATTGACATTTTTGTGCAGGTGTGTTCATATGTGTACAAATGTGTACATAAGAGAGAGTAACAATTTTATGAATACTGAAGCAAAATATGAAAAATACTGTCCCAAATTTATGAATTCAATTGTTCATTCTGTAAACTGGGCTAACTTGTGACAGAAGGGGCACTATGGGACACATGGTCTTTATCCAATTCTTGTTTCGTTTGATGATTTTCTTTGTCCCAAGCAAAGGAATTGATATTTTGATAGCCTTAGCCTCTAAGAGAACCCACTCGTGGTTTGAGAAGTGTCTCAAGCTACCCCAAAAATGTCTCAGGTTTCCCAAGTTGACGGCAGCTCACATAGGCACAAATATGTCAATAGATATGGAGCATGAAAGTGCATATACGTTTTAGTGTGTAAACTGGAATAGAAGCCGTTCTCACGAGAGTGTCGTTGGGCAGCGGTTTGATGATATCCATGACAGCAGAGAGCTCCGAACGCTGCTGCCCATCGGTGGTGTTCAACGTGCGCAAGAACATGCCTGACTGCTCACTAAAATGGCTCGGGTTCAACGTCGACTCGACGTTTTCGACGTCCACGTCATAGTTCTACAGGATAGTGCAGATGATATGAGAGGGGTCGTGGTGGTCCGTCGATCGTGAGTAATCAGGGAGAAGACTTTGTCAACACAAGTGAGGAGAACTCTGAACTTCCTGGAGCGGAGCGGAGCAATTCTCTACAGTTGGACGTGCGGAGTTTGCAGTCTGCACACTGTGGAGAAGCCCACAGAGGCCCCATCTCTATAAGCCCTTTTTTAAAGAAATAAGACATCTCAATTTTAAGCTCACCAAATTCCTAAATGTCAGAGTCCAGCGGTCTTAATACCAATAGCAACAGTGCAGGTTTCTGACGTTCTGACAAGATTAGCACGAGTGCTGCAAACTCCACACCTCTTCATTTTCACTCTAAAACTCCTGCGAAGCATTTGCTTTAGTTTCCAAGAAAATAATGGCGTTGTGGAATTGCTTCGTATTATAAGGACAGTCTTCTTGTTACGAAGGATTTGGCTTCATAATACACTCGTAAAACTAAAGCGTAGTATTACCCTCTGTTTTCAAGCGTAATCAGGTTACGCTTGAAATCAAGCGTAACAGGCCCAACCGCCAAGATTCCACCTATCTAAATGCATGGGGGAATTTCCAGAGTATGCTTCATTTCAAGCGTAACGTCTTCAAGCGTAACTTTATGCTTGACTCAAGCGTAGAGTTACGCTTTAGTTTTACCAGTGTACGAAGCATTTCTTCGTAGATTTTACAATGCCTTCATTTTCTTTACGAAGTGATTCTTCGCAGAGCTTATATTGTGTCAGGTATGGAGTTCTCTGGTTTCACAGTGTCGTCCCACGGGGTGGCGGTCTGATGGTTACCCTGGCTGTCGCCTGGATCTGAACCAGCAGCTCGGCCAGTGCAAACACGGCCGGGGCAAAGCAGTGCGTCCGCATGGTCTGCCGGTGCAGTGAGTACTGCCTCTAATGAGATGCTCTCACGCGCGGCACTGGTGGTCCAATCCGATTGGAGGACCACTCCTCCACTGTTAAAAATTCCTCACTTCGAAAAATGTATAGAAAAAGGAAAAAACGGAAAAAAACGTACAAATTACGTAGTTGGACAGATGTACTACGGAAGGTCCTCGCAAATTATTGACCAGACCATCCTACACTGTCAGAAAATTCCGAAAAAAAAAAATGGAAAAATCATGGAGTTTTTCCGAAACTTCTGCATGGAGCTCTCCATGAATGCAAATCTTGGGCTTTCTCCGAAAAGTTTCGGAATTTTGAACAAAAATGCATGCTTCAATATCACGAAAACACGAAAAAAAGTTTGCAATCTTAAAAAATGAGGGAAAGGTACCCCCTACTTGTTTACCTCAGGTTTTCATAATATTAAGGGAAAGCTACAGGATAGTAGTCCAATGAGCTCGAAGGAGATCATCCCTTCTTTGACCATTTCAGACTAAAGAATGCTTCAGCGAAGCCCTCTTTAACATATCTGAGAAAAGATATGCATTTTACCTCCCACCAGGACCCAAGTAATGGTCCGAAGAACAACTGTTAAGCCCTGAGAAAATCTCTCCGAAAAAAGGTGGAAAATGAATGGAGTCTCCATGTACGTGATTATAGGGTTTTTCTCCATAAAATTTTGGAGCTAATTTCTAACAGAGTAGCTGACCAGGGCGCGAGAAGATCATTAATACCAATAAGAGGGTTAATTTCATTGAAGCTTTTACTATGATGAAAATGTAGAAGCAGTACTTTTTCTGAGAAGCTTTCACGAAAATATACACGGTAAAAACGGTTCCTGGTTTTCCCAGGAACTCCCTGGAAATAACCTATACCTTCACCATAGGCTTCCTGGGAAAACCAGGTTCCGTTTTTACCGTGTATGTCTAGGAAGTATTTAACCCGCTGAGAAAAGCGATATAATTATCATCACAATATCTAGTTTGCACGTGCATCATAAGTACTAACTTGACGGGAACAAGAAGTTAAGTCTTTCTGCTTTCATTTAGGTTCTTTGAACAAGACTTTCTGAAGTTTATGTCTGAAATATCGACCATTTTATTGTGGACACACCGATATCACGGGAGAGAGGGCTTCATCCACGACCGGCTTTGGCCCTGGTGCGGTCGAGGCGAAACTTGACAATGTACTTCATCAGGCTCCGACTCTCGGAAACGCATTCGAAGGTTACCTTCCAGTGATCTGGACCAGGCCAGACTGGCGGGGTGATTTCGTCAAACCTTGAGTTCCAGTCCATCCTGTAGAAACCCTGCAGGAGGAGCACACTTTCAAACAAGTGCAAGGAACGCTTTAGTTTGTCTTGCCCTTGCCCTTTCCTTCCTTCCTTCCTTCCTTCCTTCCTTCCTTCCTTCCTTTCTTCCTTCCTTCCTTCCTTCCTTCCTTCCTTCCTTCCTTCCTTCCTTCCTTCCTTTCTTCCTTCCTTCATTCGTCCGTCCATTCCCTTTGTTGATTCACTAATTTGTTCATTCCTGAATTCGTTCATTCACTTCAGCGTGCAGAGTACGGGTACTCCAAGGTAATCAATGTCGCAGCATGAACAACAAAGGATAACCCAACATCATGTTTACACCGGTTTAAACCTATCGCAAAAAGTACTCCAACAAAGAGCTGTGCCTGTGGTGCATTGTACGTAGTTTATTCATGTAATGCAAGTAATGTTCGTCTATAGAAATTGTGGTACCGTTTTAGCCAGGATGGGATTTCTACTCACTTGAATCGGACAAGAGGCAGGGAATTGGAAGTATGTCTTGAATACGTTGAAGACGGGCCTCCTTCCGAAGCGCAAGTAATCACAAACCGGGGTTTCGTATCGAATGAAGCTTTGGATGTACTTCTTCTCGTACAGCTCAAAAAGGCGGCCCACGACCTGTCCAACAATTGACTGTAGATATGACTCCGGAATTTACAAAGGTACCTCTTCTGCGGCAAAAATGTTGCAAAGTCGCGAAAATTCTTCGTAACTTATTGAAAATTCTCGATAATTTTCAAACATTCTTTGTAAATCGTAAATCGTCCCTTGATAAATTCACGAACATTCTTCGTGTTTTACTTCTTCCTGACTTTTCGAAGGACCCTTTGGCAACATTTTTTCCAGAGGTGCTATCTCCAATTCTTATGTTGCAGTCAAGCCGTTCTTACGAGGGTGTCGTTGGGCAGCGGTTGGATGATATCGATGACGGACGAGATCTCCGAACGCGGTGACGTCTTGTCAGTACGGTTCAGCGGACGCATGAAAACCCCCGACCGCGGACTAAAATAGTTCTTGTCGTAAATCGACTCGACGCTTTCGAAGTCCAGGTCATAGTTCTACAGAATGCAGCTGGCATGAGAAGGGTCACATTCGGGGGGTGAATCACTTAGCTTTCTGTTGTACACATGAGTACACCTTCTACACTGGCGAAACAAAGGCATTAAAATTATGCCCATTGAAGGGCGTAAACGATTTACGCCCTTAAAGGGCATAAATCGTTAATGCCTTTGGGAAGGGCATTGAAGTTTTGCTTGAAATTCCTATACCATTTACGCCCTTTCCAAGGGCATAAAACGAATTATGGGATCCACGACATTTCACCCAAAGTCTTTCTCCCACCGCAGAAATGCCCACTTCAATTTAATCCACCAATTTTTGACCCACTACCTTTATTCCGAAAAAAAGAGACCCAAGCACCATTTGGCCCACCTTTGTACCTCAAAACCCACTAAAGAAAGACGTTATTCCCGCAGGCGCTGCCTAAGGTAAGGCACTGTCTGCTTGTTGCGAACCGAATTATTCCATGTTTATTATTCCATGAATACACTGCTAATGGAAGTGTGGACCAAGTCCACGCTTCAACGCGTGGACCAGCCAAGTCCAGGCTTGGCTGGTCCCCACTTCCATTAGCAGTGTATTAGTAGTCTGTAACTTTCCCAGTTCCAGTTCATCCATTAATCTGTCCTGCTCCTTCTGTACCTGCTTGATGCGTATTACGATGATATGTCATCGTGAGGTACTGTCAATTGCACTTACGTACAAAGCACAGTTGCCAATGTAATGTATCGAGGTCTGCACAATGAAAATTTTGGTTGTCAGTTGATGACCATTTCATGACTTATTTTTCCTTCCAAGGGTCATCAACACATTTGATCACATAGTTGTCACGCCCATGCAATAAGCATAGTCCATCCTAGTACGCATGATTCATCTAAAGGTACGGTGAATTTTATCGTAAGCACGCAAGGATCGTAAGGATCTGAGGGTGCAACAGTGGGGAAAGGGGAAGTACAGTGGGACAAACGCTGGCGGGCCATACTGGTGGTGGGCTAAATGAGGTGGATGTAAAAGTAGTGGACAAAACACGTTTGGGCATTGCTGTTTCGGGTGAAAGGAATTGGGTGAACCGTCTTGATACCCGAATTATGCCCTTGTAAGGGCGTAAAAGAGTATTTATGCCCTAAAGGGCGTAATTTTTATGCCTTTGTTTTACAAGTGTACTTGTAGTAAATGTCACATTCTCAAACGTTTGTCGGCTTTTTTTAGCGGTGTAGACGACACGCGACGCCAAATCGTGAAAAAAAATGAGCAAAGTTTGCTCTTTTTAATCGTGGGAGTACACTGAGTACGGGCATATTTGTACACATGAGTACACTACGTAGTGATTCACCCCTCGGTCACTGGTCTACCGAACGTCAGAAAGAGGGAGAGCAAGTTTTTCGAATTCGATCTGATGACGCAGTTTTGGCCCTAAATTCGATTTGAAGTCGACCCATCAAACCAGGCCAAAATTTAACGTCAGTTCTACGTCGTTCAAAAGTTCAAAACACGCTGTTTTAGAGGCGTAAATCGTTTACGTTCTGTAATGGCGTAACTCTGAGAATCCAAACGCTATGAGTATAGCGTCAATTGGTGCAATGCCAAAGCATTGCACATGAAGTGCAATGCCTCCCCATTCCCATGCATTAGCATAGGGCATTTTCGGGACGCATTGCACGTAAGGTGCAATATGGCTATCACATTGCACGTAAGGTGCAATATGGCTATCGTATTGCACGTATGGTGCGATATCTCAGCTGCATTGCACCACGTGCTATACTCATAGCGTTTGGAATCTCAGTGAATTTTGATGTCTTTGCCTCTGGTGCAAATCAACTTCCATACAAATTCGCTGGCGCAACTTATTCCTTTTCCCCTTTACTGTCAAACCAGATGTGAAGAACACCATACTTCGTGATGCCGCAGAGTAATTGTCAACACTAGCACTACAAACCTAACTGTCTACTTAGTTCACTCTTACGAATGCATGCTTGGCCTCGTCGCCTCGTGTGCCTCGTCGCTCGGGGTGGAAGTTACCTTGGGTGTCGCTTGGAGCTGGAGCGACAGTCCCGCCAGTGCGAACACCAGCGGGGCAAAGCAGTGCGTCCGCATGGTCTGCCGTTGCTGCGAGAACTAACGATATCCTCGCATGTGCGGCAAAAATGGTTCCTGCCGATTGGGAGGCTTCCCGTCCTCGTTGTTGCACTGGTGAAACAGGTAATGCCTTTGGAACGAGCAACTGCACTACAAGCTATGCTGTTTACTTAGTACACTCTTACATGCTTGCACACTACAAATCCAAAGGTCAGACTTTTCGCCACCCCATAGGCGAGACAAGTCTCGCCAAGTTTTGATCAGATCTAAAAGTATCGCCAAAATTTGGTCAGTCAAAAAAGTTTTGGCACAAAATGGTGAGACACAAAAGTCTCGCCACAAAATGGCGCCACTTTTGTGTCTGACCGCCACCCAAAGGCCGTAATGCGCCGGATGGTTACGGCCTAAAGGCCGTGCTCAGACACAAAAGTCTCGCCATATTTAGGCGCGAAGTCTTTCCATCCAATTTGCAGTGCATGTACACACGTACAAACGCATGCTTGCAAGTACACACGTACAAACGCATGCTTGCAAGTACACACGTACAAACGCAAGTTTGGCGCCATATAACTGTATGCAAAGCATAGACATATGCAAATGTGTACACTCTAAATGTCTTACAATGAAATTGGAGTACCTTGTACCCCGTTTTCGCCTGTAGGGTTCGTAATTGGCGGGCTGCAGATCTCACTGCCAACGATACAATACAGATTTGACCGCCTTCGCAACACCACGTGTACCGCCAATTGTAGTGTTAGAGCCAGTAGCCACCACGGTTGCTATCGCGGGCGCTTCGGTGCCAGTTGTACCAGCAGAGTCGCACCGTCCTTTCCGCCTCGCCAGGACGCGTCCACGGCACATTCGGTCCGGTGGTTAGCCCGTCGACACCGAGAGACTCTTCCTCGCAGTGTTGCCGGGAACAATCTAAGCTCCTTGCGGACGCCACACGGAAAATCGCATGGTGCACTCGTGTGAATCATGTCCGAATGTGAGAAATATGTCCGAAAACCTGATCGAAATTCGCGCACCTCTTAAAGCTGAAAACTCTCTGTGACATACTGACGAACTGAGGCCTTCAATATCAGAATAAATGTTCAGAATTTCAGCTTTCAGAGGTGCGCGAAATTTGATCAGGATTTCAGGCATGTTTCTGAAATTCTGAAAAAAATCTACACGAGTGTGGGGCATTTTCCCCTTCAGGCGGCGAGAAAAAATGCGTGGCAAAAAAAAGGTGGTACGTAAATGTATGTCTGTACGTGGGTACCTCGATGCATGACCAAAGAAGGGTGTTTTTCTTTTTTGTATCGCCGTCATGGATAAAATCGTTGCGATGCACACACAAAACTGTTCGTAGTGTCCGCCAGCAGTTTAGTGAAAGGGTGTAGTGTTCTAAAGGGTAGGAATATTCCCGGGAATTTAGGGAATTCCCGGGAACGTTCCCGGGCACAATCAGACCCAAAAAATGGGAAATTCCCGGGAATTTTGAAAAAATGGCTTAAAACAGCTAGTTTTTGCGCGAAAAATGTAGAAAGTGCAAGGTACCAAGAAATAAATATGAATCACTTGAGTGTATTTCCATTTTTCTTTCAGAAGAGAACAAAACAAAACGTTTCGTATTAAAACATTCGTGTTTTATAAAAAAAAATCATATCAAAAAGTATAACTTTTATCAAATGTGATGGGTTTCATATGAAGCAATGTTCCCGGTCAAGTGGGAATATTCCCGGGAATTCCCGGGAAGTCTCGGGAACATTCCCCTGAATGATTGTTCCCGGGAATTTTCGAACACACAGGCCTCTAGAATCTCGTGCTGACGAGAAAGCCTCCTGAAATCGGCCGGAAGAACATGTCGCTGTCGAATCAAAGAGTTGATTACCTTCCAGCACTATTAAAAGCCTACGAAGCATTTACTTCATAACTACAAAGAAAATGAAGGCATTGTAGAATTGCTTTGTATTATGAAGAAATGCTTCGTATTACAAAGGATTTTGCTTCATACGAAGCACTTCTTCGTAGATTTTACAATGCCTTCATTTTCTTCGTATTGCGAAGCGTTTCTTCGTAGGGTTTTTACTGTGAGATCGATAAAAGTCGATGCGATCCCAAACCGTAAATACATTTCCGGCCGGGCAGCCAGTGTCGCGTGTTGTCTCCAATCTCGGCGACCAGGCACGCGACGAGCAGAGCTGTAATTGGCTGCCGCGCCGTGCCGTGCCGTGCCGTGCCGTGCCTAGCTCATCCCGACTCCACCAAATAACACTTCTGCGAGGCCGCCCGCGAGATGGCGCGCAGATCGCAGGGCACTCGAAAATGTCGGCGAAGCATCCGCTTGGCAACTACGAAGAAAATGGCGGCCTTGTAGAGATGCTTCGTATAAAGAGGGATTTGGCTTCAACAAACGAAACATTATTCCTGGTGGATTTTGCACTGCCTTCGATTTCTTCGTCCATATTTTTTTACTGTGGTCCAGTACCGGCTGGAAGGCGACAACTTGAAACACTGTTTGAGCTCTGACGTCACCAACGAGTTTCCGAACCGAACGCAACGTTGACGTAAATGATTCCGCCCTTGTTCGGTTGAATTAGAAGCATCGGGCATTCTACTAGGCCTAATGCACCCCAAATTTTGTGCTCTTTTCAGCTCTGCAAAGCGGTTTGCAATCAACGGGCTAGATCCTACAATCCAAGCGAAATAGGTAACCCCTGCACCTTGCTCGCGCATGGCTTCACGCGCTTCCTAGGCCGTTGCCGCCCCCTGGTTCCCCACACTTGGTTTGGCAGAGTCTCAAGTTACGAAACGTGGGGCAAGAGAGGCTGGAACTGTTGTTCTTCCCGTCGCCTAGAGAGCCTTTACGAGACAAAAGAGAAATTGAGCGGTACACAAGAAGTGGGCCCAGGCCGGGCCGCGCGGCCGGGGGGTCCGGTCCAGTCACTGGGCGCCGCGGCGCCGCGACGCGCCGGGCCCCACCGCAGAGCGATTCCGCGCAAAGTTCCGTCGCTCCCTCCTTAGGGGAGGCGCTATGAGTGCGAGAGAGACAGAGCGAAGAAACCGGCGGCGGATAGTGCGCGCCGTCGCCTTAATTCCCTCAATTCCCAGCAGACCGCCGGGGAAACGATCCAGCTAATCACGCGGCAGACTGTTTCCGAGAGCCGCTCTGTCTCTCTCGCACTCAGGGGGCGCCCCGTGTGGGTGCGAGAGAGACGGAGCGACGAAAACGACTCTCGGTCCGCTGCGGCGTCCGCGGTGACCTCTGCCGCGGCAAGCGCCGGCGAAAGGCTTGGGCCGCTCAGCTGACTCCGAAAATGGGTTTCGTCGCTCTGTCTCTCTCGCACTCACGGGGCGTGCCGCAGGGGTGCGAGAGAGACAGAGCGACGCGGAGCACGCCGCACAGTGGGCCAGAAGGCCGGTGGAGGCGGCCAAAATTCGAGACGCGTTTTAAACTCCAGAGTCGCTAAATGGAACTCGAACCGAACGTGTGACCCCACCAGTGGGTTCCTCGTTCAAGGAGCAATCCATTGGTGGGGGTCACACGTTCGGTTCGAGCCCCATTTAGCGACTCTGGAGCTCAAAACGCGTCTCGAATTTTGGCCGCCTCCACCGGTCTTCTGGCCCACTGTGCGCCGCGGCCTTACTCGGCCACGGCCCGCTTGGTTCGTCATAAAAGGCCTGACTGTACGCGGGAATACGACGCAGTGTGTGGGAAGACACTGGGAAATTCCAGACGTCGAGGTTTGAGGAGCCTAATCAGCTGGGATGATCGCGCACCTTCCTTCGCGCACCAAGGCCTCCGCGGTGCCAGGCGGCACCAGCCGTCCAGACGCAGTGGGCCACACACAGTGGGGCAGAAGACCGGCGGAGGCGGCGAAAATTCCAGATGCGTTTTGAGCTTCAGAGTCTCCCTGCAGGACCCCATGCCGGAACCGAATACGTGTGACCGAGCGTGTGACTCTACCCACACTAAATGTTATGTACAATTTTGTACGAGACATCACAGTTTTTTGTGCACACGAAATTTTCGTACCACTTTTGTACGAAAAACTGCACATTTTTCGCCATTTTTGTACAAAATTGTACAAAATTTTGTACAAATCTGTACGAAAATTCGTGAGCACCAAAAACTGTGATGTCTCGTAAAAAAAATTGTTCAAAAACATTTAGTGTGCCGAGATTCCTCCGTGTTCGGAGAGCCATCCTGTGGTTGGGTCACTCTCGCTCGGTTCGAGTCCAATTTAGTGACTCTGGAGCCCAAAGCGCGTGAAGAGTTTTGGCCACCCCACCTTTCTTCTGAACCACAATGCGACTCCATGCAAACCCCACGAAACCAATAGTGGAGAACTTCACGCTTGACATGTGGAGGATTGGAGTTTGCAAACTCCAAATGCACGCAGTCTCCACACTTGAAGGGCGGAATTTGCAGACTCCCGTGTAAAAATGAAAACTACCAGAATCTGGCCGAAATCGTTCCGAAATCCTTCCGAACGCTCGGAGTACTGCCAGAATCCTTCCGAAAAGAGGGGTGTGGGCGTCGGGGTACTACCGAAATCGTTCCGACGGCGCGCTATTTCGGAGTTGAAGACCCCGAAATCCTTCCGATTTTCTCGGGGCACCCCGAAATCCTTCCGAGACCCCGAAAGCCGTCTGTTCGGAAGGATATCGGGCAACCCCGATGGTTCGCGAAGGGTACACGTCAACAAATCCACCCTTTGAGATTAAGTTTTTCATGGTTTTAAATTTCATTTTTGGAATTTTTCGCTCAAATTTGGTGTGGGGAATCAACGCAAAAATTCACAAGTGCCATTTTTTTTGTTTTTCAATCGGACATTATTTTTCTGCTATCTTGGAAACTACCATAGCTATCGAAAAATGGTTTGCAGATTTGGATCGGACTCGATTTTGACTCCCCCAAAGCACTTGTCTAATGTTTCATTTCTTCAATTGAACAAAGATAATTTCAATTAAAGATTGTTCTAAGTATTGGTAAGGAGAGGCATGCCTCCACTCCCCCACTCCTACACACTCCTCGTCCCCACCCCGCACCG